TGCCGTCCGGTGGCACCACGCTGGTGTCATGCAAAAACTATCTGTTGTATGCCGGTGGTACCACTTTGGTGCCATTTTAGAAATCTGAAGTAACATTTGAACTATATTTCTTGGGTGTTAAAAGGCAGCAAATTAACTATAGCATTGTGCTTATTTAACTAAGAATTGAGTACGAAAATTCTTGGATGACTTATCTTAATTTTAGGAATTTATATTACCGCCATCTTCGAAATTTTTTTTAAAATCTAAAATTTCCAAGCTATTATGCCGGTGTCAAATAGAAGAATCATATCTAAGATCTGCGGACGGCATAGTGTCAAATATTAATATAAATTTATTAATTTAACCGTAGGTTCAGAACGAATTTCAGTTTGACGAGTCAGTCTTTCTGTGTCACTACCAGAGAGAGAAACCAGCAAAGTTTTTCACATATTTATAATCTTATAATAATATAATTATATCTCTTATAACATTTTTGTTTTATATCCAATACCTGTCGTCCACAGCGACGCAATATCCGTTGAGCGGCTTCGTCCGCAAAGGGTTAATATTAGTAAAGGAACAGAGCTGTAATCTTCCATTTGTATTGTATTTCATAAATTATTATTATTGTCAAATATGAGTGAAGAGAGTATTGTAATAATATTTCTCACTTAACAATAAATAAACTAATCTTACTATCTATCGATATGTTATCTATATGTATATAATCGAGTAGTAATTATTGTTGACTAATGTTTCTTCTGAACTGAATTTATATAAATCTTAAACCAGTGTGTGATTATAATAGATCCTAATTGAAACATTTGGTCTGAAATTGAGATCTATATTTTCTTATACCTTATAATATAAATGCCACAAATATATATTTTATAATACTTATACGTACAGATAAATACAGATTACTATTATAAGTGGCTTGTTTTGGTCGATAAAACATTAAAGAAACTGTATTTCTAAGTACTTAACATGTATTTCTTCACATGAAATATATATTGTTACTTTTGTATATATGTATATATATTTATATCTTGCTTAAAATTATAAAAAGAAAAGTAGAATTATAATCTACATAATCGAACATCAAATCTAATATTTTTAGAAACATTCTTTCTAGGAATCTGGATAAATTACATTTCTGTCATACATAGTAAATTTCTTTTTATTCTGTTGTAATTAATTGGAATGCAGTCCATTTTGATTAGAGAAGGAAAACAATGAAGTTATCAATGGTCGCGTCAGTTAAAATCAGGAATCATTGTATGAAATGTGACATGATTTTTCTGTGCGTTATATTAATTGGTTTAAACTATCGTTATAGGTATTTTTTTTTTATTAACGACTATACTATAAATAAAAGGAGCATCTTATTTGTCTAATTATCTAGCGATAAATCAGTATCTCACTAATGTTAGATGTTCAAATTGTCAAGTGTCGTACATGTACATATTAAAAACACTGTGTATCAATTTTTAAAAAATTCTCTACTGATTGTCACGTAGAAAATTATTGTGTCCCGTAAGAAGGGCGCAAAAAATTCTACAAACCTTTCTACTTCAAATAATTCTACGTCAATAAAAATTAAAGTTTCATTCGATGATAAATGATAAGTCGCATTTGATCCATCAGTGGTTGGTATGCTTTAAATACAATCTAAGTTTCGTTCGATTTACATGGTACAAATGAAATAGAAAATGGACGTGTAAAATAGACAGATAATTGTTGTTATGGACATTCCATTCTATGACATTTTTTGTACTCTGCCAGGGCTGGACACAGTTTGCCTCTGGGACCACGGGGCTTAATTCTCACTGATCTCGTTCTGTATTGCGATGATTCTCCGCAGGTGGCCGTACAATGTGACCAAACGGACCATTGTGTCATTTTGCAATCAACTGAAACTAACGAGACTCGTCATAATTTAATAATTAATTCAAATCAGACGTTGAACGTCGACTTAATTTTTCAGGATTAAATCAAGACAATTTAGTTAGCAACACCGAAATTCAAAAGATAACATTTTTCATAGTTACTCCTTTTATACTTCTTCCAGCAAGATTTACCTTCATTTTCCTCCGCTGCTGAATTTCGATAAGTACGTCGACCTACGCCGTCGCCTTGCAGCGCTACAAATTACATATTTATTTAGTGTTACTCGATTTTTCATTCCGATTGTTCTGACACAATATTAAAACTTACAGCACGGTGGAATTTTGTGGCATTTCTTCTTACGGTAGAACTTCTTCGGACAATTCATGCCATTTCCTTTACGTGGTATCTAAAGAAGAAATAGAGGATATTTCAAAAAACTAATCTTTTGGACAAGTTATGTAAGAAAACAGTAGGTTTCAATGATATCTTTTAAAATCGCTTCCTATATAATTTAGATAATTTTAGTAACCAAAATACATTCACCATAACTTCTCTGGTGCTGGTTGTGTATCCTCGACATCCTACGCATTTAGACCAATTACTCCATTCGGTCACTTGGCAATCGACATCTTCCTTGTTTGCTGACGATTCGATCACTTGGCTGTCGGGTTTCATGCCTTTGAATTGTAAGCTTTCTGTAAGAAACGATTCAGAATAAGCTTCGCTAAGGAACATATAGCTAATCAACAATCACAAAATTAGTACATCTGTGTTCATTGTTTTACGAAGCTTATATTGCCCATACTGGACCGTATGTTTACGCGTGTGCGATAAAAATGAGTAAGATCAACCTTCACACAGTGTGAAAAGATTGAAAGAATATAAAAATTACTTCAAAAATATTGAATAAGGAAATTATTAAAGTTATTAATTGTTTGGCGATTTTAGTAGAGTCGCTGGACGCCATTTTGGATTCGGCGAAATATTACGCGAACTTCTAAAATGACAACAATTTCTTGTTATTTGTGAAATAAAAATCGTCTTTCTTTTTTCAAGTTAAAGCTTGATTGTTTGAACAACGAACGTGACAGCATAATTCGACAACAACCTAAACGAATATAAGGCAAATAAATGTAAATTATGGTTGGATCAAGGTTATTTGACCGTTCAAGACCATCGTGAACTCTCGAGCAGTATAGTAGAAAAGACAAATAGATAGTCCAGACGGGGTTTTATTGAAAATAGCTTTTCAGTGATCCTGAATGGACAAACAACCATTCTTTCGACAATAATCAGCGTCACCATGGTGAGCTCGTTTCGTCTTCGCGCTGCGTTGATCCTGCGCAGGGATATGATAGCTGAGAACGCTGCTGAGAGACACCTTAATGTTTTTCACCGTTGTCGACGAGTTTGTTCTCAGCTCTCCTTCGTTTTATGAGCAAGCGTGTACAGAGCAAGGCAAAACATTTCTTTTAAAAAACGCAATCTCGAGTTGTCAACCACGAGTTATAGAGTTTATATGCATGTATGTACTTCACAGGATTTTCCTGACCGATCGAAGCTTTCTCTTTTCAACGGAAAATGGAAAAAGCAGCGCGAACTCACTTTGGAAATCGCTGCACACGTTTATGCAGTCCTGGTCGGTCTGGAAATTATTTCGATTTCCGTCGCAGCCGGAATAACTGAATAATCGGCAACGGCCCTCCTGTTTGTCGAAATACGCTCGCAAAATGTTGCCGCTGCAGGTGCCTTTCTTCATCGGCTCGCTGCAAATGTCTGGAACCAATTCAGGTTTAAATTAAATTAAATTTAAATTAAATTTTTAATTAAATCTGTCCGACAGATTTCTTATCATTTGCAATATCAACTGGACGATTCTTCTTGTTTAAAACGCAAACACCAAAGTCAATTTTAGTTTTGAAAATACACGAGTTATTATAAATACTATATATATTATATATAAATATACTATAATAATATATATAATACTATAATATATAATATATATTAATATATAAATACTATAATATATAATATATATTAATATATAAATACTATAATAATATATTATATATATACTATATATATTATTATAAATACTATATATTATATATAATACACGGTATTCAATATTTTTGATATCAATTACGATACAAGCTGAAATATTTGTTATTCTGTACTGTAGATTGTCGAAATAAGAACATCTGATTCGTCGAAATTTCACTTTATAATTCAAACGCTGTTTTATACGAACTGTACAATAAAGATTGCATAAAACAGTATTAAACAATTTGGTCTAAGTTTAAAAATACAGGAGAATGTCCCGCGAATGTAACAATACGTGCAATTATTAAACTATGCGATTCTAAATTGTTGTAACTGGCTGTAAAAATTGAAAAATAGCCCAACATACATACAAACATCGTTTAACGAATATTAAAAAATAAATTATTATTCTATAATATTATTAAATTATTATTCTGTGGTGTTTATTTTGATTGCAGTCAGTGGTGCGTATTTTAATTATACTAAGACCTAGATGGACGAAAAAAAGTGGAGGATAATCAATTTTCCATTGCGTTCGATTACATGAATTCTCAGGTAGCTATTTTTGATCGCAGCTTTAATTCGGCGGAATTATGCACATTAAGGTAAGCGCGTAACTCGGAAAAGCTTGGAAACTGTAGAAAACAGTCCGCAATAATCGCAAGGAACGCGTTTCGCAGGCCGTGATACGCGTTAACTGCACTGCGCTGCACCATCTAATTGCAGCAGCCGCAGATGTTAGCACTCCAGGGTTATGCTGTTGGATTATAAATTGCAGGCGCCGTACACGTATAAGAGAACACGGGCAATTTCGGAAGAACAAAAGAACCTTCGAGGCGGTTGAAAGCCTTTGAAACGCGTTTGGGGAAATCGGCTGTGAGACGTGTAAAGCGTTTCGCCGACATTGAAATTAATCCTTAACCGGTTGGTCATACGAGATCCCACGCAACTTTAATCGAGTTATGCATAAATACACGTTAATGTAATCATTTCAAAAATTCATGCAATCTCCTCTTATTCATTGATTAAGTTTGCAATGCTTCAAAGTTTAACTTATTAACCACTTGCGCTGGAAAGACGTGCCACGCACGTCGTAATGCTTTTGTCACAGAATCGCCAACAACGTGGTATGTACGTCGTCATGCGATTGTCACAGAAACAATCGACGTGCATGGCACGTCGGGTGGGATTGTTTGCTAGAGCACAAATTATCATTGCACAGCATAGCGCACAATTGTCAATATTTAACCCATATTCTAAAATGGAAAATAAATTAGTTTAGAAAATGTAAATCTTTTTCCGATTTCTGTGACGCCTCCCAACAAGTTACACTGGACCGTTCTGGTACACGCGTCGGTGAATTTTTTGCCAGCGCAAGTGGTTAATTGTATATAATTATATGTATGTATATACAATTAGCTTGTTAATTTTGGGAATATGCAATATTTAACATCGTCAAGTAACGAAAACAATAACATCGTCGGGCATAACTTACGTTCGGCTTCTTCTTTCGTGAAATCGCACGATGGAATGTTGGCCACGCAGGCAGCCTGCTGCTGTTTACACTCCTCGAGGCTGAGGTCTTCGTCGTTGTCCCCTAAGTTGCTCCAATTTCTGTTGACGAGCCTGGATCGCAATTTCACGCCGGGCCCACAACTGGAACTACAGGGGGACCATAGGGACCACTGCGTGTACCGATCGTCGGGACACTTCTAATGAGGAAATCAACGATGCTTGTTAGCCAACTTTCGTCGCTTCTTCAGCTTTCAACCCTTCGCACTTGTTGACAATTAGACTCAATTTTGTTTGATAATTACTTTAATCATTTAACAACAGTTATCACGATGGTTGGTACAATTTAATCATTCATGCTCTGTTTATTTGGTAGTTTGCTCCCAATATTTTTGAAGCGATAATACACGATTTTGTTACGCAGTATTTCGTTGTATCGTTTTTTTTTAACTTCGATATTCGAAGAATACGAAGAAATCAGTGCAAAGAGTTGAAACAATGGTAGATTGTTCATTCGACGTTGGGATTATTGAGATTCCTAATCTCTTTGAAGCCAGCATGAAAGAAGCCGATGAAGACAGTCCCGAAGAAAGACTCGAACGTCTCACGATTAGCGTAATACGTTATGAACGAATTCAGATTGAAGCTTCGATGAGAAATAAAAATATGTACGTTACAATGGCACCGTATGAAATGAACATTAAATGGACTGAACGAATGAAACACTCAATCAGAAACAGTACAATAACAACAAGGTATGGAAGTTGTTAAACGAGATGCAGTGCATGAAGTGAACGAAATTATCATTTACGAGCAGAACACGATCAGAATAATATAATTGTACACTATGAAAACTTGCAATCCCCGTGATATAAATAAATGTGGAGGAAAGAATGAACGTTAAATTACTACTAAAAAATAATCATACAGTGAAAATTAACATGAATTGTAACGGAAGATGATCTCATCAAAACAAATAATGGTGACTCTTTCTTTAATTTTAACAATTACTATTTCATATTTAAAACATCATCAGTTCGTGAGATTTAAGAATTTAAATAACCTTTTAATGTCACAATATCTAAGAAGGAAACTAGTTTATCGCCTCTATTTAGACGGATTCATCGTCTCGATCTCTCGCGCGTAAATCTACTCACGTGAGGATGCCAGTGCCATGGATGCATTTGCGAGAAATGGTGCAGGTATTACATAGCCAGAGTTTGCTCCCCATACAAATTTCAGTTTTGTTAGTGATGATTTGAATGCCGTTCGAGTTATTGAAAGAAGTATGTACGACGCCGTTCGTTAGCGATTCTCGTGAACAATGAGAAATTAGCTGTTCGATCATGTTCCGAGCATTCTAATCTTTAAATAATAAATCTGCAATGCGTAATGTAACAATGAAATATCGAACTGCACATGTCGCATTAATTGTTATCCACTTATTAGATCTTCCTCGTTATCAACGAATGCGAATCTTTCATTTGACCAACAACGACGCACAGTAGGCCGTTTATTTGATAGCACAAAAGAATTCGTCGCTTTATTTCGTCTCTATTAAAAGTCCTTTGATTTTGACACAACTTCGACAATTTGCTATACTGTGTGCCGCATAGGATACTTGATATCGTAAAAAACAATAGAGCTAAATATTAATTTTCCGTCGTAATTAATTAATTTCCAATTACGTTTACGGTAATTTTGTAAACACAAATACAAAAATATTAAATAAACCTGTATTTATTTCGCAAAAAATTGCCGAACTTTTCTTATATCGATGTAAATAAGATAAAATTATATTATTTGAATAATAATGTGTTACATGAAACGCATTGTAACGAATCGCCTACTAATAAAAATTAGATGAATTTATCGTTATCTCGGCCATTGTACCAATGAACTTATCTGTACACTACTAATTTCGATAAATTCTTCTTTAAATTATTCCTTCAAATCTTTCTGCTATTTTCGTCGAAAATTAGTCCAGACGCATGCTGCGAAAGCTTAGAGAAAATTTAGCTAACCATAATCTTGTGATAGCTAAATTCTTTCTTCTTTTGATTCTGAATTTTTTAGTTGTAACTTGGCGCTTCAAATTGTTCGGTTAACCATAATTTTGTGATAACTGAGCAATTTGAAGCGCCAAGTAACAACTAAAAAATTCAGAATCAAAAGAAGAAATAGAGATATTGCTTTCGTAAGATCGGAGACTAATACATTTGCATTACAGATTTTCTGCAGTGATGGCAATTGTTGGCGAAAATATTGGTGTAAAAATATACAAGGAACGCTGCTTCGAAAAGATCTGTTAAAAGATTAGCACGGCTCGATTAAAGAAGTTGAACGAAGTCCAACAACTTTACTATATTTCAAGAGGACACTTTGTAATACTTAATATGAAGCATCGTGCAATTGATTGTTTTGTAAAAATCAACAATGCTTAAAAACTTGAGGAATTCGAAAGATTAGAATTATTTCTGTTCCAATATCTCGTTTCTCGAACAACGCGCTATGCGGCGTTCGCATTCGATCCCGCGATACCACAAGCTATTATTGTTAACGTGATGCGACGCATTCTGCAAGATTCGCGACGATCGAGAGCACGTTTTATGGCTTTTATCGCATACGCACCCCACGCCATTGTTACGCGACAATTAGTAGCAAGTTCTGACAAACTTTCGGAGGGATGTTCTGTAACTGCAGCCATTTCTCGGTTACCTCCGCCGCTGGTTCCTCCTTCTCGTAATCCACTCCGTCACTACTCTCCTGATCCCCGCTATCATTCTCCTGATCACCGTTATCATTCTCCTGATCACCGGTATCATTGTCCTGATCGTCGTTACCGTCCTCCTTCTGGCTGTTAGACGGTTTTCTTACCTCGTCGCCGTCCGCGTCCGAGCACGGCGCGTTCTCGCATTTGATCGTTTGTTGGAGTTCCGGCCCGTCCGGTATGAATATGCACTCTTTCCGGTGCTTTTTCTCCCGGAAGTTTCTCCCTCGCGTCTTGGCACCAGTGCCGCAAGTCGCCGTGCAAAAACTCCATTCGCCCCATTCGCTCAGGGCGCACTTCTCGGTGTCCAACAGTGGCGCGAATCGACCCGCCTTGCTGCTCAGATCGAATAAGTTGATCGATAAAATTAGGTTCTACGTTCTTTTTTTCTTTCTTCTAACCCACTAAATTTCACTGCTGCAACACTTAAGGGCAGGTTTCGGTCTAGAACTTTTTAACGAAATCGTTTCTCTTTCTTTCGTCATTCAATCTCTACGATGTTTCAACAATATGCAGTTACATGGACATTTCGAAATAGTAGATCACCGAAGTTATGGGCCTTTAAGTGTTAGAGACGCCGCACGGGTGCTTTTCATTACGTAAAACTCTAAACGCATTTTTTTGGTCACGAAACACCATTTTTTCGAACTGACGAGACGAATATTTCGAAAACCAATTGATCAATTTTAATGAACTTCCTTTTTAATCAAAGAATATAATTTTCCGCAGATAGTGACCTTACAACATCTCGGAGTTTCTTCAAATTGACTAATTTTCAAGGAACGTGGATTGTGGAAAATTGATAAAAACAGTGATGTTTGACTTTAAAATGCTAGAAAATGATTAAAAAAGAAAAATGAATTCTTTTATACTTTCATAGGTCCATTACAATTAAGAATAATATAATATTTTGCTCAAAAGACACATAATAAAATGTTGAAAACTCTAGATCATCATCTTATTTGCTTTTGTTGTAAAAAGTTAAAAAAATGACCTTTTTAACCTCCTAGACCGGAATCTCTCCTTAAAGATTGGAAAAGTTATAGCGTGTTTTGTGAATCAAATTTGACTAACGAACTTCGAGAATATATATTCGAGGGAAACGTGAGTGGATCAGTTTGAACGTATGTATTACATAACGTGATATTTTTGTGCTAGCTACGATTATGGTAAAGTAATAAGAATAAGTGGAAACACTGTGGACATTACCAATGGGGGCTCTTCCCATAACAGTTTGATCTGTCAGTCAACTTGACTCTGTCATTACACTTGTTTTGTGCGGCAGCGGCTTCATCCTTGAAATTCCTCTGCCTAAGCTGACTGCCTCGACCGCAGGTCACAGAACATGCGCCCCAAGGACCCCATCCTGTCACTCTACAGGCTTCTGCATAGGTCAGAAATTATTTGTCAACGCTTCGTCAGATCTACATGGTGTACACGAAAGGTTACATTAGATGCAATAACTCAGAATTAATCCAGTAAATATTAGCAAAATCGTTTCGTGAATTCTTCTACTATTGATTTATCTGCATTGAGTTAAGAAAAAAAAAGAAATAAAGAATATTCGTAAGTAACAAATCTTTCATTTCATTAAATATCCTTGTAAGATTAAAGTCTGGATTAAGAAATATTTCGAACAAATAGCTTGAAGATAAAAGCATAGGTTTCCATTAAGATTAAGAAATGTTTCAAACAAATAGTGTGCAAATAAAAATATAGGTTTCATATTTAAAGAAACAAAGTTAGTTGTATTTCCTCTTTGAAATCGACTANGAATATTCGTAAGTAACAAATCTTTCATTTCATTAAATATCCTTGTAAGATTAAAGTCTGGATTAAGAAATATTTCGAACAAATAGCTTGAAGATAAAAGCATAGGTTTCCATTAAGATTAAGAAATGTTTCAAACAAATAGTGTGCAAATAAAAATATAGGTTTCATATTTAAAGAAACAAAGTTAGTTGTATTTCCTCTTTGAAATCGA